TCGCTGGAGAGATGACATGGATTTCCTGAACCACTTAATAGGATGTTATAGAAAGTTTAAAAGCACAGGTAACTTTCCAAAAGTTAATTTCAAATCACTTCCTGCTATAAGCAATGCAAGATGGAATTTGAGAGCCATTTTTATTCTACTTGCTTACATTTTAATACCTGAATACCAAGAATCAGAATCTACTCAAGCAGCATGTGACTTCATCTGTGGTTCATGGGGTGATGTGGTTTGGGGGTCACTACTTCAATCCTGCAGATTTTGCTAATCTATTAGAAGCATGCAATGAGCATCCCAAAGCATTGAAATCATTGAAAAGGTTTTGGTCCACTGAGCCAACACCAATATCAACACAACGGTCAAATATATGTGCAGAACGTGATGTGAAAGTGATGCAAGACTTAATGCCATTATCCCATAGCATAGAAAAACTAAATATTAAATACCTATTGTCAAATACACAGTATTTAATACAAATTTTAATTATACATGTTTATTGGTTTCTGTAAAGTAGTGGAAGATGTGTTGCAAAACTACATTTTTTTAATTTTTTTATAAATACTTTTTAATTAGGGGGTGAACTTTTTTGACATATAGTAAAAATGCTTGTTATTTTTTTGATTTTTAAACAAAAACTCCAATAAATTTAGTATGGGTTGCAAAATTGTCATATTCCTAATATTTTTAGAATATATTTCGAGAGAATATTGACATTCTTGTTATCAAGTATATGAAAAAACTGTTATAAAAATAAAACCGCAAGAATCAGAATTATACAAAACCGTTTAAATTTACGAAATAATGTTCTTTATAACAGATTCTTTTAAAAGTGTTTTTTGTAACATAAATATTGAAACATGGGTTTCAAAATGATGTTGTCACATAATCACCAACATCCTAGGCATTCGCGTAAGAGGTGTGTGGGCACATGCCTTATATGAACACACATATAATACTTTCTTTAGCCACGGCTATTTGCAAGTTTTGATAATTAGCGCTTTTAAAAAATGCGCTAAAAAAACAAAGCAAATGTAAATGCGATTATTAATTTAATTAATTTCATAATTACAAAATGACTCCATAATTACAAACTGCTACAAAATTTCCTGAGTTTTTTATTGCATTGTAATAAAAAGCAATCATTGAAAAAAATACTCAGATTAGAGTTTATTAAATACAGAAGCTATCAAAAAATATAATTTCTAATAAAAAAATCATTAGAATAAAGAATTACAATAATCTTGAAACAATCGCATCTGCCACCTATTTTTTAACTATCCCAGGGCGTGACATATCATTTTTTTAAAATGAATGTTGCCTCCGTATCTGTATTTATTGTCGAACATCTAATTTAAGATATTTATGTCAAATAAGGGAGTTTGAATTTCAAATAATTTTTATTCTAGTTAATAAGTTATAAAATACATCAAAGATGCTTGGTAAATTTATCTAATTTTTATTTTTCAAAATTTTTTTTTTTACACGTTTGCAAAGTGCGCGCAAATTAATGATAAATGCACAATAAAAAAAACTTTTTTTAAGTGTTTTTAATATGCAAACAAACATTACTTCACTTTAAGGAAAATAAGAAAATTGAAAAAAAAAAAACCATGAAAAATGTTATTTATAATGAATTCATTCGTTTTAAACTTTCAATGTAATTGCTAATTACATAAAAGAAACCATGCTTAAACATCATGATCGCTTTCTTCAATAAAAGAAAGCAATCGAAATGTTTAAGCAGTTTCTTTTATGTATTTTAGTTTTTGCAAAAGCATTCATTTTAAGTAAAATTTTGCATGCTTTTGTAAGTGCATGCTAAAACACAATTTTTTTCTTCTGGTTATTTTACTTAAAAGTAACGCTATTGAAAAAAGTAATTATGTTTTGGCATTTATTTTTAAAAGTCTCTGAAATTAATTATTTTTTTGTTTCAAATATGTGTTTTTTATAATAAGAGCAATCGCAAAATTCTTTTGAAAAAAAATTGTTGAAGTAATGCGTTCGTTTTGAAAAATCTTAATCAAACACCAACGTTTGCATAAGCAAAATTAAAGAAATGTGTTGTTTGTTTTTCTTTCTGTCTTTTAACAAATGCGCGCATGTTTATCGATATGTCGCACACTGTATCCTATTAACTTTTTAATAAGATTTAAAATTAGCACTACAAAATTTTTTTATCTAATTTCATTGCACTTTCAAACAGCCTAAGTTATTTACATTTTTAAACACTGATTTCTTAAAAAAAAAAAAATCTGAGGAGGATGGGGGGGGGGGGGTAGGGTAGGGGGTAGGGTAGGAAGAGGGGCAAATGCCCTTAGGACCCTTTCCCTCACTATTGATCTGCCCTTATATTAGCCTATTTAATCATGGGAGGAAGAGATACAGATTAATAGAGTTATGATTAATTTAACAATTAAGTTTAATTAATAAATGTTTTGATTTTTTTCCTGGTTTTTCTTCTATATTTTTTATCATTCTTTAAAATTTTTATTTTTTTAGGTTAACTTTTGTATTTTGTATGGATTGTTTATTTTAATTTGCTTTGTTTTTTCAACGCATTTTTTAAACACGCTAATTATCAAAACTTGCAAAGAGCCGTGGTCAAGTTGTTAAAACAAAGAACTATATGCGTGGTCATATATGGTGTGTGACCGCACACCCCTTACGCAAAGGCATGTCATTCTGTTTAAGGCCATTGTTGCAAAAGGTACTTTAATTGTTTTTTATTTCCAACGCTTCCCTAACTTTCCTGTTATAACTATTCATTTCTATTTTTAAGATACTGTGACTGTTCCAGTGGAAATTTCTTTGACAAATTTTGAAAGGTTTAACTACAGCTTTACCTTGTTATGCACTTATCCGAGACAATATCTTTAGCTGTTTTGCCAATACAACATTTGCCACTCTAATTTATAAACACTGGAATGTGAATTAACTGGTGGTGTAGGTTTATTTTTGGAGCTAAGTAGACTTTGTGGATTTAAACACTGGTGCATATCTTGCTTTTTTAAATACTATTCTTAACTTAGAACTGATTCCAGGGATCCAGGGTAAAGACACAAAACTTTTTGGAGACATTAAGAATAGTTGCTTTTTTGTGAGATCTTTTTTTGTTGCTGACACTTTTTCTTTCATAGCTGTTTTCTACAGTTAATCGATAAGAAATGACAACTCGTTATCAATGTTACGTTATGTAAACGTAGTGCACTATGAAAGAAACCAATAAAGTTATCAATGTTATCAATGTTATGGTATGTAAACGTAGTGCACTATGAAAGAAACCAATAAAGACACAATTGATAGTATTAGGGTCAAGGCATGAATTTGGTTTAATTTGAATGTTTGTGATTGCATTTTTGCGATATATTTTAAATTTAAATGTACCTGTTTTATTGTTAGTAACTGAAACATCAAGATAGTTTAATGTATTAGTCACCTACATCAAGATTTTTAATGTAAGTCACAGATTCCATTGTGCATTGAATACTTTTATGTTGTTTATTAAGTAGGTTCTTCTACCAGGAACCTTGAATGTATATCATCAACATTTTTTTTTAATATTCAAGCCAATTGGTCCAGAGTTTCAGGCTCATGAATATCATTTTCATATAAAAAATAGCAATGAGAAAAAACAAAATTCTAAAAATAACCTGATGTCTTCAAAAGTTAATTTAGATATAAAGCTCTGGTTATTTCTTAATCTTTTAACTAATATAATGATTTCTTATTTAATTGTGACTGAAGAGAACAAATTAAAACATCAAAGGACACCTGAATCTTATTCTTATCAATATTTACCATAATCTTACTGTATTTAGAAACTGCTGAGAATTTTTTAAATGCATTTCATTTATGTTTAGAGTGGGTTGTACCATTTTGACTAAATATTTAGAGATGCTCTATGTAGGTGTACCAATGGTGTCTAGAATTAAACTCATTGGGTAACCTTTTTCTGGCTTATGGCACACAAGTTATGCTGGAAGTAGTAAGCTTTTGCCCATGTCTACCTACAATAAAAACCCACTGTTTTTTGTATTTTATTTAGATATTTTTTAAAAACAATAAAATTTGTAACAAGTATTAGTTGAATCAAGTGATGTAAATGAAAATCAAATTTACACGATGAAAGTTCTACATGGAGACTTAAAGTTTAAAACTGATGCTTATATTGATTGCAATTGAAACATTTTATATTTTTTTTGCGTAGGTATTTCTTATATATTGTATGTTTGCATCAAATATTAAATATGCAATAACTATTATGATATAATTTTTACATTTTAGAACATGTGTTTTAAACTTTTATTTTGAGGAGGGATTATAATTTATATAATAGAAATCAAAACGAATAGTTTTTTCAAATAACAACAACCAGTCTGGATTACTTTTTCCTTTAACAACTTAAAAGTCATCATAAGACATAAGAATGTTTTGTAATAATATAAAGTCATCAAATAACGTACAAATGTTTTGCGTTAACATTAAGTCATCAAAAAACATACAAATGTTTTGTGTTAACATAAAGTCATCAAAAGACATACAAATGTTTTGCTTTAAAATTAAGTCATCAAAAAACATAAGAATGTTTTGTGTTTACATAAAGTCATTAAAAGTCATAAGAATAAAATGTCAAAAACTTTGAACATAGTTTAAAATAGTTTGAAACCTTTCATAAAAGTTTGTACTCATATATGACTATAAGAACTTATAAAAATACTTATAAAAAGTCATATCAAATAACTTGTCACTCATTCAGTTGAGGTTATTTCAGTACAAGTTATCATATTCAATAGCAATTTTATTTACTAAGAACAAGAAAGACTAATGTCAATCAACTTTGTAATTATAAAAGTATGATATAAAATGTTAAAAACAAGCACTTTAACAAAACAATGATATAAAAAAGTTAGTTCATCAATTCAACTTTCGTTTGAATAAAGGCAAATCAAAATGAAAGATTCCCTACACAGAACAAATCAAATATGAAAATGGAAAAATACAGAGATTAAAAAAATAAATCTGAACAAAAACAAATAAAACTCAGTGCAAGTAAGAAAAAACATAAAAGTATTTGCTTGTTAAGTTAAATAGACTTTTAAAGTAAAAACTACATTTTAAATAAACTAAAATAAGCAGGATATGTGTAAATGAATTGGATGAGAGCCTCAAATTCTAAATTTTATTCCAACTTAGCTTTTTAATTTTTGATTTGAACTTTTAATGGAAAAACTTTCCTTTCATGGTGCTCGTGTGAAAACATAAAAGTTTAACAAAACATTTTTTTATAGACAGCAAATTTGTAAATGCCATCAATTTAATTAATCACTGTATTTCTCTGAATTTAAATTAAAAAAATAAGACATTAAATGTGATACCTTCTCCTTTACTGTTTATACTTCTTACCCCTTTGCGATAAAATATCAAAGAGTGTCTATAAAAAATTTATATGAAAAATACAATATAATTTTAAATTAAAAAAACCAACGAGAAAAAAAATATAGTCTGTAACAAAATTGTACCTTACAGCCCTTAATGTTTTATGAGTTGTTGTAGATACCACATCAGCATAATCAAAAGGACTGGGAATGACCTTTAAAATTTTTTAATATTTTATAAATTCTAAATACGAATAAATTATTTTAAATATATTCAAGTTCTAAACAACTTTAATGGAAAACTGTTTATTAATTTAAAATCAACTCAATACAACAGACTTACTCTGGCAGCAACCAAACCACTTATGTGTGCCATATCAGCAAGAAGATAAGCATTAATGCTTGAACTGATCTGTTGAAAAAGAAATATTTTACTTATATAGTAGATGTGACTAGGCATAAATAAATAAATCTTTTATCTACATGTATTTTGAATTAATTTAATAGGGTGTCAATAAAAAAAATATTTCGAAATTTACAAACAATTAACTTCTGTATAATCAGCTTATAATAATTGATTTTAAACTTTTTTTGTGTTCCTAAATCTGCAACCACATTAAATAACTATTTTAAAAAAAAACTTAACAGAACAGTGAGCACCTTAGTATTTTATTATTGTAAAACATTTTAAAAAACTAGTAAGTGCACATGCAATAAAAGTGTTTTATTGATTAAATATCTGTATTAAATATTAAATATCTATATATCTATATATATATATATATATATATATATATATATATATATATATATATATATATATATATATATATATATATATATGTATATATATCCTTATAGTGTAGTCAAAAGAGTCTTTTAATGTAAAAAAAGTCTCTTTCGACTACAATTTTAATTACCTCGTCTCTTAAGCTGTATTTGATTGTCGTCGAAATGTCAAAGCAATTAAATTAATGCGGAAGTACATTAAATTTTATTGTTTTTTAAAATTTTTTTAAAAAACCGCAATAATAACGACTAGAAAGTTTTTTTTAATTAGTTGTGTTTTTGTTTTTGTTTTATTAAAAAACATTTTTAAAACATGCGTAAATGTTGCTACATCAACTATCTTATAGCCTGACTCGCAAGGGAGTGCTGCTACATCGACTGACAAATAAAATTTAATGTATTTCCGCATTAATTTAATTGCTTTGACATTTTGACGACAATCAAATACAGCTTAAGAGACGAGGTAATTAAAATTGTAGTCGAAAGAGACTTTTTTTACATTAAAAGACTCTTTCGACTACACTATAAAGATATATATATATATATATATATATATATATATATATATATATATATATATATATATATATATATATATATATATATATATATATATATATATATATATATAGTCTTCTCCTTTTGAAATTTAATGCAAGGGCACAAAAAAGCGCTGACAGGATGGTCATTTTTAAGTTAGTCTGTGTGATTTAAAAAATTCTTTTTTTCCTGCTATTTAAATTAAAATAAAAATAGCGAAAATAATGCTTTGAATAAATACTAGATATAATAATTCAAAAACAACTGGTTAAAAAAAGCCTTTTTTCATAAAAGTTGAACAAATCAACAAAAATGTTTTGTTGCAATTTAAAATTGTTTTTATTTTTTTAGCAAGCGCTTTTTTAGGCGCTTGCCAAAGTTTTTGTAGGTGTATGGGCGAGCGCGAAAAGACTTAAGCGCCTAAGCGCTGACTAAACGAAGAAAAAAATATATATATACACACTCTTGCAATGGTCATTTTTAATTTTACCATTGCTAGGTAAGTTTTGTTTTAAAAAAAAATATTTTGAAGACAGGAAAAAGTTTTTTTTTAATTGTTTGATAGACTGCCTGCCCTAACCAAACCCTCAGTCAATGTCGAGGTGCTTTCTTGTAGCAGTAGGCTTTAAAATAGTCGATGTAACAACACTCCCTTGTAGCAGCAGGCGATAAGATGTAGCAAAACTCCCTTGAGCAGCAGGCTATAAAATAGTCGATGTATCAACACTTCGCGCATGTTTTACAGTAAAAAATAAAAATAAAATTAAATCATTCAGAATGTTTTAAAAAAAATTCTAGTCTTTTAATTTGCGTTTTTGTGATTTTTTAAAAAAAACTTAAAATATAATTATAATCCTCAATTAAATTAATGTGTTTTGTTTTAATAATCTTAATTTTATCAGTTTAAAAATCATAGACAAGCTATGAGCTGTTTTTTACCACAAACAGTATATTTAACGCCTTTACTATAGGTGTGTGTGTATATTATATATATATATATATATATATATATATATATATATATATATATATATATATATATATATATATATATATATATATATATATATATATATATATATATATATATATATATATATTAGGGTGGTCCTTAAAAACACTTTTTTTAAAAGGTGTGTTCTTACCTACTAAAAGTGTAAAAGTTACAAAAGTTTTAGCTTTGTAAAAGTTAAAGGTTAACTTGCAGTGTAAGCGTTATGAGGTAAAAATATTATTTGAAATATTTTAAATTTGCTTTGTACTGGAAAACATTTTGGTAAAATTATCTTGCTAAAATAAAGTAAAGTTAACATAAATTCATCGAAAGACATAAGAATGTTTTGTATTAACATAAAGTCATCAAAAGACATAATTAAAAAAAAATAAAAGATCAAACTTAAAACATAAAAAATTCAAAATATTGACCATATTATGAATAAATTTTTGTCTGATATAACTATTTATTTAATTATAACTTATAAAATATTGAGAAAAAAAAAAAATGCTTACAATTACCTTTTTCATCCGCTCATAGTCAATTAATCTTGAATAAGCACTTGTTCCAGCAATTAAAATTTTTGGTCTAAAGAGATGTGCAGTTTCCTCCAATTTATCATAGTCAATTAGTCCAGTGCGTTCCTTAAATAAAAACATATTTAAAGGAATTCAATGGTTATTAATCTGCTGTAAATTCTGTAAAATTAACATATATATCTATTATATATATTATATATATATATATGTATATAATATATATGATAATAAGGTATATTTTTAAAAAAATACCTTATTATTAGCCGATTATAAATATAAATTATTATAAGAGGGAACACATGCCTTCTCCCCCCTCCCCCCACTTTTTTCTAAAGGCCCCCTTTTATTTAAGAGAAATTCTAGATATAGAGGACTTGTTTTTAGAAATAAATGGTATGCACCTCTACTTCAAAACCTGTGTCGTCGGCCATGAATATGCCAGCTTTATTTTTATTTCTTTAATTTTAATTTTTTTATTCAAATTATTATTTATTAAATTATAAAGAAGTTTTATTTTCAAATAACTTTTAATTTAGTTAATAAGATATATAATAATTAGATATATCAATGATGCTTATTGAATTTTACCAATTTTTTGTTAATTCAAAACAACTTTTCACGCATTTGCAAAACGCGCGCAAATTAATGATAACTAATATGCAATAACACTATGACTGTAATCTGTTATCCATTAATACAAAATAGTGAATTTTTCTCAATTTAGTTTGTTAAATTTATTTACTTATAATAAAATGTATAAACTTTTTAAATTTTAGTAACTTATTGTTTTTTTATAATAAATATATTTTTTTATAATAAACAAAAAACAATCAATTGCATAATTATTAAAAAAAAAAAATTGCTTAAGTTATGTGTTCGTTCGTTGATTTGTCGATTTTACATTTAATATTCTTTATATTTAATACTCCACACAACTTCTCATATACAATTCCCAACAAACTCTTTTTTATATCACTTCTTTTTTACAACACTATAATTTCTCTCTATATATATTATATAAGATTGTTTAGACATGTCTCGGTCTAACTGTTTGTAAAGTTTAACGGCTTAGACAACTCATGCTCCATCTAATCCAATGCTTCATTTAACTACAAACAGTAGTTAAATGAAGCATTGGATTAGTAGTTTTCCTAATTTTGAGGGTTGTATATATATATATACTCAGAATAATGTTTTATCTTCTTTTTCCCAGTTTTTCTGAAAGAACTTATATATTTTATTTAATGTCATAGTTCCTTTATTACCCTTTATCATTTCTGATATTTTTAAAAAAACAAAATAAGCAGACTAAGACTTAACTTTGTGAGATTTTTATCAAAATAGAAAAAATACTCATCTGCAAAATTCTTATTTAGTGAAAAATATTATAACATTTAAAGGTTTTGATCTCAAAAATTCTATAATGTATGATAAATACTCAGTAATTTTACTGATCTAAAATTTCAAATATTCTCGTAAACAATATTTAAAATTTCAAATATTCTCGTAAACAATATTTAAAATTTCAAATATTCTCGTAAACAATATTTAAAATTTCAAATATTCTCGTAAACAATATTTAAAATTTCAAATATTCTCGTAAACAATATTTAAAATTTCAAATATTCTCGTAAACAATATTTAAAATTTCAAATATTCTCGTAAACAATATTTAAAATTTCAAATATTCTCGTAAACAATATTTAAAATTTCAAATATTCTCGTAAACAATATTTAAAATTTCAAATATTCTCGTAAACAATATTTAAAATTTCAAATATTCTCGTAAACAATATTTAAAATTTCAAATATTCTTGTAAACAATATTTAAAATTTCAAATATTCTCGTAAACAAAATTCTCGTAAAACTTCTTCGCAAACTCGTAACAACTTTTTTACTTTTACTCCTATTTTATTTAAAAACTTTGGCATATAAAATTCGCCGAATGGTCACACACGAGCAGTGAACGCCTGAGGGAAGAAATGAAGTACATTAGAATAAAGGAGAATTATTTATTAGACAAAGCATATTTTGACAGTTGTCAAGACAAAAATAAAGATTAATAGAGGAATATTTAAAAATAAGTAAGACAAGCTATACAACCAAAACAGTACTCAACCATAATAACAAAAAAAAAAAAAAAAAAAAAAAAAAAAAAAATAATAATAAAAAAAAAAATTAAAAAAAATAAAAACAAACAATAATAAAATATATATATATATATAAATAAAAAATAAAAAAATTGTTTTATAAATACCAATATGAACTAAAATATACAAGAAATACATAACCAGTCAACAATTTGTAAAACAAAAAACCATTCAACAAATTAAAAATATGCTAACAACAATGAAAGGACTAATAATGGAAAAAAAATATTAATGCTAATGTGTAAACAATATTTAAATTTCAAATATTCTCGTTCAATATTTAAATTTCTTCGCAAACTCGTAACAACTGTTTTACTTTTACTCCTATTTTATTTTCTTTCACAAAAATAGAAAAAATCTTTTTGAGAAGAAAATTTTGCACTCAGTATGCAGTAGTGACTATTCTTTTTAGAACAAGAAGAGAATCAGCATCAGATTTTATTTGGCTAAAAGGCTGAAAATCTTTTCATCTAAAAACTTTGTTTAACCTTTTAAAATCTCTGTAAATAATCCTATTTTGTACAACAGATTATTAACAACTTATATTTTTGTTTCTCTATGTTTTGATTTTTGTTACATTCTACAAAAATTTAGGATTGCCCAACATCTTGAACACTTTCCAGCAAAAAAGCTTCAATATCTTTTGTCTTTAAATGCTTCTTGCCTTTATAAACTTAAATTTGTCAGAAGCTTTATAACGTTTTGACTAATAATATTGATTATCTGGAAGCATCATGTGATCTTTTTTTACAGTAAGTTTCATCTTCTAAAATGCATAAATTTTTTTTCATAATTGCATTGATTTCTCCATCAAGCAACCTTTTTGGTATATTTTTCTTGTAATATGCATTCAGATTTTCTTTTTTAAATACTCTTTGAACAAAAGCTTTATTGCATTTGATCTTTGTAGCTAAAATTTGTTTTCTAAAGTTTGAATAATGTGTTTTAGTGATTAATCAAGAGATTTCAAGTTGCAAAAAATGTTGATAAAACATATAAATATATAAAACTTTCTTATTACATAAGTTTGATTGAATATAAGTTTAAAACATATTTAAGTTTGTACAATGTTTAGTCAAAGTATTCGCAAGAGTAATGAATCCAGTTCTATTCTGCTTTGAAGCTTATTCTGAAAAATGGTGATCATATTCAACTACCTGAAATATAAACATCAAGTGCTAGCACATTATTAAATTCTGACTTAATACCATGTTCAGACTAGTCAATGGTGACTCTCATACTTGCAATTTTTTGCTTGGCATTAAATAAGACACTATGAAGCTGGATTCTAAGTAAGAAATATTTGATCAAATTTAGGCACAGTGTACAAAATCTGACAAATCATTTTTCTGAAAGTGTGCAACTAATTTTAAATAAACTTTAGTAAAATCAGTTTATATTGGTGGTATTTTTATAGTGGAAATCATAGTTTCTTTCTCACTATTAAGGATAAAGTAAGAAAATAAGTATAATCAAATCTCCACTCAAATACCTGTTTGTCACCACCATAAGACTTTAATATCCAGAGTTTGGGGCAGACAAAGATCATTATGTGGAGCATCAGAACCATTTAGAGCTTTAAGCCAAACTTTTACATAAACGGTAAATGACATAAATGAAAAGGCAGATACAACGACCATGTTAACATTTTTTGTTGTTGGTTTATTTAGAGTTTCAACAGGCCATTTTTCCAATAAAACATCATTCTAGTCTTTTTCTGGTGATGATGATGATTATCAGTTCTATCTATATCTATTTCTATTATCTAGCTTATCAGTTCTATCTATATCTATTATCTAGCTTTAATATATTTTTTCACTCTTTCATAACAATTTTCTTAGAAATGTTAATACACTTTTTTTTGCTCACTAAGTCTTCTTATCATTTTTCTTTTTTATCTTTGATCTTGTGAAATTTATATCTTGTGAAATTTTAATCACAATCTATTACAATCACCAAACAGCAGTGAAGTAATGGCACAGTGATTAGAGTCCATGCTTCAGAATTAAGTGGTCTGAAGTCCAATGCCAGCTCTGGTTATATTTGGGTCATCAGTAAAGTGGCTTCCTAATTGAATGCTTTTCTGCAGTGCTCTGTTAGAACATCATATAAACTACTTAGAATGTCTTAACCACCAGACAATAAAAAAAAGCCATTTATTCAACTTGCTTTATCAGTTTTTAATATTATTTCAGAAGCATAACTTTTTTATGTTGCTAAAAATTTGACAATAAACCAAATTAATAGAATATAGTTTGGTTTTCCAAGTACTTCTTCAATGGTGAGACTTGTGTGCCTATTGATGTTTTTAATATTGATTTTATTCAAGTAGCATTTTATTGCGTTTGAAACACTTTATTAATAATATTAGAACAGCTTTGTAAAAGTTCCTTTTTGTTTGTCTTCAAACCATAAAAGAGGTGGTGTAGGGATAAATCTTGAACTGATAATTGATAAACAATTAGCCACATATTAGTGCCACATTGTTTTTGAATAATTTTCTTATGACTTTTTGACTTTAATTCAGTTATTGCTATATATTATTACTTCACTAAAAATACAAAAACACATACATACTTAAAATGTATGTATGTATGTATATATATATATATATATATATATATATATATATATATATATATATATATATATACATTTTTTTAATTATAATTTTAACTATTTTTTATTTTAAAATATATAAAAAAAAAAAGCTTGTTTTGCCGTTACTATTATAATTATTTATCTTATATACAAAATTTTTATATAAATTTAAATAAAATGCACCTTAATGTGTTTTAAAAAACTTTTTTGAATAAAAAATATTTTAAGGGGTGACTTAAGACCATTGAACAGATCCCTAATATTATTACAAAAAAAAAAAAGGTTTTTAAAAAGTATGTCTTGTTGAATCTTAAAAGAAACGAAGTTATTTAAAATCATCATTTTATGAAAAAATTCTTATTTTAAATTTTACTGCCTACAAAATGACACTTTCAAACTTAAAATGGATTTTTACAAATTTTTTTGATTATAACTTTTTCTCTTTTTTTTGTTTATATTTTTTTTATAAAATGATGATTATTTTTGAAATTTGTTTCTTTTTAGAACTTTAAATTGTAATTTTGTTTCTTTTTAGAACTTTTTTAAAAATATCTTGATTGAAAAATAATCTTGAGGTACCCCTAAAAATATTTTTTATTCGAAAAGTTCTTAAATCCAGTATTATTTTATCATATAGATCACATTAAGGTGCTAGTTGCGGACACCATTATCTTGGAATTGGAAAAAGTAGGCAAAAAACTTAGGATCTTAAACTATTTTTGGCCAGCATCAGTGTGGCTAAAAAAAATTTTACACAATGGGTTCACCCTGACTACATAAAAATGAGGTCAGCAAAAAATCAAAAACACAAAAAATGTTTCTTTTTACTTTATTTTAAATCAATTTCTTTTATTTTATAAGTAAATTTCTTCTCAGGATAAAAATCTAAATTTGCTTTTTATAAAAACTAATTTTTCATAATCCTAATGTACTTTATGCTTCAATTTTTCTCTTGGATATTTACTGTTTGTGTGTGACCACACACATGCAAAAATTTCAAATAAATGATAATAAAATTTTGAAGCCATTTAACATGAAATTATTCAAACTTCCGAAAAAAAAAAAAAATTGAACATAAATATTATATATGCTTTATTACTGACAAAATAATTTTTATTTATTCTTCACAAAATAAATTAAAAAATCTATATATATTTATCTAGTTTTATGTATTTTAAATTACAAAATACTTAATGTTAAGTGAATGTGACTTTTAATAAAAAATTTAATAAACTTTCAACTAATATTTAAATATTACATTTTATAAATATATTTATATTTTAATTCATATTTTAATTTATATTTCAATTACATTATGTTTTACCACAGACATTTACTTTTCTTTATTAAATTCAATTAGAGAAAGTGTAACTTAAAACTTCTTAGATTGAATATTAAATTGAGACATAAATATTTTACTTGCATTATTGTTAGAAAATAATTTTTTTAATAACATAAATTTAAAAAAGATAAACTTTAAAACAAAAAAAAAAATGCTTAATTAGCAGAAAATATTCGAAACAATAAAACATGTGAAACCATGTCATTATTAAATAAATTATAACTTCACATATTTAAGTATTAAAACAAAATACTAAAATATGTGAAATACTTACATAAAACAACCTAGTAGAACTTTCATTACAATTACTGAATTTTAATATCTGTTAATAACTTAAAGATTTTAAATCAATAAGTCAAAAAAAAAAAATAAGAAGAAAAAAAAAATTAAAGTAAAAAAACATTGTTTTTAAGCCAAAGCATTGAACAAAAACAAATAATTTTAAAAAACTCATGTTATGTATTTTTTAAAACTCATACTCTGTTTATCAAACATGGTTACCATAATAAAACAATGCAAAAAATCACAGATTATAAATTGATAGATTGTTTAAACAAAAAGATTTAAGTTTAAGTTGAAAAAAGCATTCAGGTAGAATTATTAAATGTAATTTAATTTATTATTAAACTTTTGAAACTGTCTATTTTTATTTCCTTGTTT